GAGGGAGAGAGGGAGAGAGAGAGAGAGAGAGAGAGAGAGAGAGGGAGAGAGTATATTGGTTTACCTCATTTTTTTTTTTGGAGGTAGTTAAAACTAGTAATACAAACACTAGATAAGGACTGACATCCGAGAGAGAGGGGGTGGGGGGGGGAAGCAAGAGTGAGAGAGATAGAGAGTACATAATTCTACCTGTACGTTTTTTTTCTTTTTTTTGGAGGAAGTTCAAACTAGTAAAACACTAGACAAGGACTGACATATCCTCTGTATTAAAAGTCAGTAAATCATTTCCATGATATATCGCCTAGTGCAAGGTTTTGAAGGCATTTTATCAGAACTTATGGTATTTTTATCTAACGAATACTGTCTCTTTAGTTTCAAGTTTTGCCCTTATGATGTGAAACTATACCAAAGATTCTCTGTTATATAATTTAAAACCCCGTCGTGTACACTAATCACTCACTATCTCTTTAATTATGGGATCCACATTCATCCTTGCTGTATATATTCTTTGTTAAACTCAATGAGATGTTACACTAATCACTCACTATCTCTTTAATTATGGGATCCACATACATCCTTGCTGTATATATTCTTTGTTAAACTCAATGAGATATAAAAAACTTATATATTATTTGGGGTAAATCCGAAAATGGCCCTCGATGATTCTTAGTGGCCAAATTTATCTGAGTTTTGCGGTGCTCTAATTTACTCCACCGATTATTGAAACATAATCTCAATTGGTTCCTAAAGGATCATTTTTGTGTCATGATTATTTCTATACGAGGGACTATTTTGGATAAAATTTCAATAGTCAGGGACTAAATTAGAGAGTAATGTAAAACTCTAGAATTAAATTGACCACAACCAAATAATCGAGGGATAATTTTGGAAATAGATTCCTCTATTATTTGATAGGAACCATTCAAATTGCATTCTATCATGTGCATTGCACCTTAACATATTGCTATCTCCTCAATTTTCCTTAACGATCTTGATATTCAATGGATAACTGATTTCCTTCTTGGTACATATTTGCGATTTGTAATTTATTGATGACATTATTCTTTCTTTCTGCTTTGCAAATTTACGCAGCCATACATTCATCATACATTCATGAATCTTCGACATTTACACGCAATGAGAAGAGCCAGGGGAAACGGTGGCCGGTTTCTCAACTCAAAGGGCAAAGACGGCCAAGACGACGAAGCTTCCTCTCACGGAAATGCTCAGCCCGGCAGCGGTCCAACCTCCCAAAACCCATCTCCAGTTTAGTAACAGAACTATGTAACAGTGGCAGGATATAGCAGCCTGAACATATGAAAGAATGAAAGGCATGATATCCACACATCCATAGAGGGCTGTGACAGCAAATGAAGAAAATAAGGAACCATGTACAGGGTTTGCTCCGACGGCTTTTTCTACCGATCTTAGAGATCAGTGTCAGTGTTCAGACATGTAGTTGAGATTAGCTTGTAGCATAGTTTGTCTTTGTCCAATGGTAATAATATTAGAATTTCATTTAAATAAAAAATGTGGGACATTTTCATTGTGGCCTCTAAAATTTACTGAGATTTTTTCTCTGGTTGGAATTATATGTTGGAAAGAATACCAGGCGAGTCATAAACACACCTTACAGTTTATAAAACATTTAGGGTCATTTACATATGTACCAAAACAAACTTCATATTTACATAACACTCAAATTTTTAACATCAGAGCAAAGCTATCAGCATCACTGACCTTTTAAACTTATTTTTTTTTTCATGCCTAAGTTTATTATAGGTGATATAATTATAAATATCAAATATTTAGTGTTATATATGAGAATACATAAAAAATTTGTTATGTCTGTAAATTTCACAAACATTTAATGCTGAAATTTATGAATGTTGTGCATTTCAATACTGGTTCTTTTGTTCTTCTTTGCTGATTCATGTTGCTTAAATGGGAGAAATTGTGTCATGTGATAATTATAACTTCCTTGAACTTAAAATATTATGTTTATTTTGCTTGAATGGTTTGAAGCCGAGAAATTTGCTTTGCTGCTATGGAGGATGGGTTGCAGAACTGTTGATTGATCGAATGCCCTTGATTTTATGGCAGGTGGTGTAGCTCTACGTGCGGACTCTCAGTAATATACCACGACGTGTGCTATGTTGTGGAGGTTATTTTGGGGTTATTGAAGTGAAACCACAAAGGTTATTTTGGAGTTATTTCTCAGTTATTTCATGGTTATTGAAGAGAAGCTCATATATTTATTTCAATAACCCAAAAATAATCCTGAAATAATATTCATGGTTCCACTTCATTAACCTCAAAATAACTTCGTGAATGTTATTTCTTGGTTATTGAGGATAAATTCTATATTTCACTTCAATAATCCTGAAATAACTCAGAAAAAACTTTGAAATAACCTTGGTGATGTTATTTCGGGGTTCTGCTTCAACAATCCCAAAATAACACCTCAGAGCTTATTATGTGATTATTTTGGGGTTATTAAGGAGTCTGCGGTTACACTTTAATATTTTTTTAGGTGGACCCGATATAACACACATGGTGATATATTACTGGAAGTCTGTATGTAGAGTTATGTTCGGAGTTCAGAAAGAAAATTTTTCTGATGTCGTCTTTTACATACATACAATCAAATTTTTTATATATTTACATAACTTTAAAGGTTAAAATTTGTTTTTTTTTACTTTAGTACCACTCAAATCCTTCATTTTGCATAAAAAAAAACCACTACTTTAACTTCATAAATAGGTAAGCTAGCATCTATGTAAAAAATTTTATGCTTATCTGTTTGTATGTAAATTCATAAAAATTAAATAGTATTTGAATCTGCCCACATTTATTGGTGGATGGAGTGATCTTGTTCCATAAATAATCAGACTGAACTTGATTCATGAAGATGAAAGAATTATGGAGAGAATTCACTCAAAATTAATGGAGATAAATTTTAAATTGTTGAAGTTATTATGAGATTAAATAATTTATTATTCATTAAATATAATGTAATACTTTTTGAAAAATAAATTTAAAAGTTCAAATTTGAATCAAATACTTATGACCGACTCATATTGATACCTTTGATGTTGAACTGTTAATACTATCACATCTTTAGGGCCACTCAAAACATAGATATGTTGTGCTATGAAGCATAAATATAGGAATTGAAAATTCAAGCATGGCATTACCGGCCGCATGTCGGATCTGTTTAAAATGTTCTTTGGAGGGATCATTTTGAAAGCCTTGTAATGCTTCACAATTCTATTTTTGTTATCTATTGCGCTTAAAGGAGATGAGTTTGATGACTAATTGAATTGGAGAGGACAATAATGTGTGAAGAAGATGTTTAGTGATGAATTGTAGGGACGATTATGTTATATCTCATGTAATTAAAGTTTAAATGCTATATATTAAATAGTAAATTTTATGTATTAAGCATGTAAATACGACAATTTTGAGTATAGAAGTAAAAATAAAGAGGCAAGGGTGGACTGAACTCTAGAGTTGTAAATGAACAAATGCACTCGATGAACAACTCGAACCTGACTTGATTAAAACTCGATCATGTTCGTTCAAATTGATAAATAAACAAGCTTGAATAATTTGTAAACACTCGAATCTTAAATGAACAAGACATGAATCTAGTCAAACTTGTCCATTTATGTTCATGCATATTCTCATTTATTATTTAACAAGTAACCTGCTAATATTCGATAGTTAGCTTTAATATAGCCCGCATCATATATGATATATTATTTAAATAAAATTTAATTAGTTAGAATTTATTTAATTATAGATTTAATAGTAATACATTATTATATCAATAATATTTTTAGATTATATATATATATACAACAATTTAAAAATTAAAATGATGAAATTTTGGAAGTTAAAATTATTTTTTTGTTTATTTTCTTTTATTATGTTTGATTTGATTGTCTTTTATTTTTATCCATTATTACTATAATTGATAAATAATTTTAACATTATGAGTAATTTAATAATACTTATTTTTTTAGATTTTATTATTATTATTTTAATAATTTTTCGATCTTAAAATGCATAATTATAAGAATATATCTTTTATAGACATTATATAATAACATGTGAGTTCCTTTGTGGTTGATTTATTGGCTGATTTAAATACTTATTAATTTATCATTACCAAATAAATTACAAATTAAAATCAAATCTGAACTTGAATTTATAACTGTACCAAAAGTGCAAAATATACTCACCTCTGACTTTAGATTACAGCCCTGCTGACCTCAGCAGAAGCCTCCTCTCATCTTCCAATCCGATTCCATCCGTTCCTGCACGACGGCGAGGGGAAAGGGATGCACGGCCGGCCGCGTAAATCCCCGGGCGTGAAGGACGCCGCCGCTGCAGCGGCTAAGGCCTCCAACCTCCGCGACCTTCAAGCTCAACTCATTCACAACCACCACCACCGCGTGTAACCTCACTTCCATCTCTCTCTCTCTCTCTCCAGTTTCCAATGGTTAAGCATTTGACTTTGGGGTGTTTGACAGGTATACTAAGGAGGCGATCTCCGCTAGCTCGAAGTTACTGGAAATAAATCCAGAAATATTAACCGTCTGGAACTACCGGAAACATGCTTTTCTGCAGAATCTCAAAGAAGCGACCGATTCTGAGGGCATCAAATCTTTGGTTGACGATGAGCTCAGAGCCGTGAGTTTTATTTCTTCCTTTTATTCTTTTTGGACGGGAATTGAGAATTTTTTAGCATTCATTTAGTCGGTTGATCTGATGTTGAGATCTTCATCGCAAATTCTTAAGGTAGAGATGGCTTTGAGAGCGAACCCTAAATCTTACGGGGCGTGGTTTCATCGGAAATGGGTTTTAAGTCAAGGGCTCGCTGCGGTAGATTTCGACAGGGAATTTCGGCTCCTGGATCACTTGCTAAAAGCTGATTCCCGCAACTTTCATGGTTGGAATTACCGTAGGTGTGATGCATCTGCCTTGATTTATCTGTTTCATTGCATTTTAAGGGTTTGTTTAGGCTTCGTAATTCGTGCTTTGGTATTCTAGGTTTGTTGCCAAGCTGAAAGGTTTACCTGATGTGGAAGAGTTGAAGTTCACGATGGATATGATTAACAGGAATTTTAGTAATTATTCTGCCTGGCACAGTCGGAGGTTTTTGCATTATTGTCATTCTCAACGTTCTTGTTCTTGTTGTTTTTGTTTTGTTTTAATTTTTTTTATGTTTTTTTTTTCTTTATGGCCATTTGAATGGATTTTATTGAAATCTTTTCGAGCCTTTCTTTTGAGATATCTATTGATGTTATTGTATTTTTCAGAAAATGATCGGTCATATTTATTGACATGCTCAATTCTTTTGAGGTTTACTTATAGGAAGAGTAGTGAAACTATAAATTACTATTGAACTGTGATAGATCTATGAGCACACTATAACCAACATACACTAAGAGGAATCCAAGTTTAAAATAAGACTCTCAATTGATATTGATAGATGGATGAATAGATGCATGAATCAATATTATATAAAGATTGGTAGATTCCAGTGTTTGCTAGTTGCATTCAAAATAAATGGTGAGATTGAGAAAGATTTCATTGTCTGCTCACTTAACTGACAATTTGTTAATTTTTATATTATGAATAGATGGATAGAAATATAGTTGTGGCGTGAAAACAGAAGGCTTTTCATTGCCTGTTTGTTGATTTCTAACCAATGTGTTACATGTTCAAGTGCAAGCAACTCTTCTTCTTATGAAATAATGCCAAGAACACTAAAATGGATGCCCTCCAATTCTGCTTGGCTACCATATGATGTGGTTTTGACTTATTATATCAAAATTGCTATGTTGAAGGGATATCCATCATGATGGCGAGGACACGATTGTAGTTGAATGGGACTGAATAAACTATCCCTTTATCAAAGCTCTCGACATATAAAGAAACTTTATAAGGAACTTTGAAGAGGATCATATCGTTGTTTTTATGCAACCATTTTAGTCTCCAGTTAGACTCTTGACTCTTGGCAAAGATCGCAACCTTGGCTTTGAAAGGGTATGATCAATCTAAGGCAATTCATCCCTTTAGGGTTCTAGCAAATGCACCGCATCTTCAAAAGGATCAATCAATCTATTGTGGATTTTATTCAACCTTATATATGATGGATTACATTAATTGAGCTAAACTTTGACTAAAAATCATGAATTCTGATCAAAATCCTGTTTGGATTCAATTTAATTTCTTTCATAACATATTATGATTATTGAGCAATGTTCTACCTAGTTTTTTTAGAATACAATCAAAATTCTTGATGTATTTAATCTTACCTTCTCCATAATGGATTATGACATTATGGCTGTTAAGTAGGATTTTGATCAGCTATTGTAGAGAATGATCAAAATCTTTGGTGGATGTACACTTTTTGACCAAGATTTTGTGACATTCATAAGAAGGAATCAGTAATTCAAAACAACGCAAGAGTTCAATAATTTTGAAGTAGGCTTACTATTAATTTTTCTTGCGTTGCATCACCCATAAGTTTATAAGCGAGGAGTTGTTCTCAAACTATGATCATCAACCTTTCATAGAAGTTAAAAAAATTAGAAGTTCAGTGCCAAATTTGCAGCAAAGTTCTAGCAAGCATTTTGCTAGAACATACGCTATAATTCAACCATTTTTCAAAGTTAAAAAGAAAATATAGCTTGATTGAGCAATCAAGAATTGCTTTGGGATAAAGACTTGAAATTTTTCTTTAGACAAATGATGTCCTTTTATATGAGAAAATTATTAAGTGGAGCATCATTGGAGCGTGTTACATATATGATCAAGTAGACATCCTTAAGTGGATGCACTCTTATGCATGTCATCAGATAAAATCCTAGTGCTAAAATTGAGGAAATTGGTGGCCCTAAGTAGAGGGCATTTTGACATCTAGGGAATGATCAAGCTTGATAGTTATTTTTTAGGCTGTGAATTTATGTCATGTATCTTTTAAACAAGATTTTTTTTTAACATAGAAGTTGATGCATCCAATAATATTAGAAAATTTATGGGATAATAATTTTTTTTTTATCAAGCTTATTTTTCAATGAAATGCTTGAATCTCAATTGACCAAGTCAAAACTCAATTTACTCGAAGAAAAAAAAATAATTGGAGACTAAATTAAGTTAAAACATTGTGAACTAACTATCAAATGGATGTTTTTATCGAAATGAATCCATTGAAATAATGATTGTATGATTTGGAATTCCGATAGCCATTCGACTTGAACCTAGTCTATCTGGTCTAGGTCAATCCAACTCAAGTTGATCCTCATATCTTACACATTCTTACTATGTAAATCATCTAAGAAGGTTTTTACTTATAAAGGATACTATGAACTCAATAGACCTTCATTCCCGATTGCTACAAATGAACACACCCAAGGAAATAAACATTTAAATTAAAAAATTATCAAAATATCATTTTGATTTTTTGAGGGCTCTACAATTGAGCATTGAATCTTATTCAAATTGTTCTCATCGATTAAATTGTTAGAATTTTAATTGTCACCTTATTTTTTGTTTTGTTTGGGGTTATTTGGGATCAATTTTTGCTTTTTATTTTTTGTTTTTAAAAATTAAAAATAGGAAACAAATAAAAAACAGTGTTTGTTTTTTTATATTTTTGTTTTATTTCTGTTTTTTTTTTATTTTTTGTAGAAATATTTCTATTTTTAAAATATTTAGAACAGAAAAAAACATGTTTTTGCCTGTTTTTAAAACACCGAAAACAACCTTTCACCTCGCCTGTCTCCCTCGCGATAGTCGATGATGCCAAACCCCTTCGCTCGCCGACCTCTCACCTTTGCTTACAAATCCCTTCGCTCTCTACGACTTCGATTCTCCTCCTATTATTGACTACTCCCACGGATGTGATCACAGCAACAACACCGAGATGCTGTAGAAGACTCTTACCATTGCTGACCTTGACAATGATCTCGACCCAACCTTCTCCCCTAGCGCTTTGGCAATTCCACAACCCTCGTCGAGTTCGACTCAGTCGCCGAGTTCAAAGGCCGCCTCAACTTTTAAAATGATTCAAACTATTTTTTTTCTTTTTTTTTGAAAAATCTCCCGTTGCAGGCATCCAAGATTGCAGTCCTGCCCTTTTTGTCGTGAAAGTTTTAAGAAAGTCAGCTGTGGCGACCTGTGGATCTTCACAGACAGCAGAGATATATTAGACATGGAAACTGTATCCAGAGAAAATCTGCTGCAACTCTTTATGTCTAGAAAAACTTTCTCTCATCGTCTTAGAATGTCTTCGACTCCTATGATTTTTTTCTAAAATAAAACAATCTGCTCTATATTCGACTCCATTGTCTCATCTGCTGTGCGTTTTTCCAGCTAGAGCTAGCTTTTGCTTGCTAGCTGATTGAATTAATGGCGGTTCCCTGTTTCTCTCTCTAAAGCTGAGAAGCTTTCCAAATATGATTGTTACTATGCATTAACATGCGATGATAGTAATGTTTCTGCTAGTTTGAGTTATTTTAGGTTCAGATATCTTGCCTTTTGACCTGCAACAGGAATTATTTCTTCTTTTAGGCGCAATTGCATATATACGACACAATTATGAAGCATTTACAAATTTCATATCTAATATCGAAACTTTCATATTTATTTTTTCAATATCTTTAATCATGCTTGTGTGGCCCGAAACTCTGCCTACGTGATATTTTTTTTTAAAATTATAAGTTTTTCTTAATAAAAAAATACTCATTCAAACATTTCTTATATTTTTTTATTTTAAATCGAGATAAATAAAAAAATACTAAACACGTTTTCTAGAAACATAAAATAGAAAATAAAAACAAAAACAAAACCGGCTAAAAACAAAAAACAAAAAGTGATCCCAAACGGGCCTTAGTTTGAGATATTGTTGGTGGTAAACATCACTAAATCACCATCAATCACCCAGATTAGTCCCAAAAGGTGGGTTAGTTAGTTCAACCTATTTGACTACATTTCAATTATGGGATGACTCATTATGTACTATTTAGTGTTGAAATCTATGAGCACTACTCTAGGTTATTGTAGATTAAGAATGAGAGCACCATTTTCAAAATCTATCATTAAGCTTCAATTTAACTCATTTGTGGCATTTTGAGTAATAGGAATTTCTAAGCCTATAGGAGCTCCAATGTTTGTTTGAATCCTTCAAGCAATCATCATAGAAACAGTGGATCTTCCAACCTTGTAGGAGCTTATATCCATAGGAAATCCTACCAGTGGCCATCACTAAGGAATAATATATTCAAAGTGTTGAGGAGCCTAGATTCTCTAAGTAATCCTACAAGTAGCTATCTTCCTCAACACATGCACAACAACCTCACTTGTGCGATGGTCATCACTATATCATGATTTGCATCACAACTTACACTTGCATTGCAGTCATTCTCCTCAAAACATATGCCGCAACTTTGCTTGCATTGTAGTTGTTGCCACCTCCATGCCTGTGTTGCAACCTCATGTATTTCATAGTGATATCTTTTAAGACTTATGCTGCAATCTTGCCTGTTTTTCAATCGTTGTTGCGTTACTGTCACAACCTCGCTTGTGCCATTCTCACATCAATTTCACTGTAAGATTTACATTGCATCAATCTTCAATTACGCCTATACTATAGTCATCTCTATTGGAACTGAATCACAGCTATCTTCAGTTAGGTTTGCACTACAAGCTCCAAGTGCTTACTAGCTCCTATAGTTGCATCTATGATAGTCACTCTCAATGTGTTAAGGACCAATTTTGGTGCCCTCTTTAACTTTTTTTTATTATTTTTTTGGTTCTAAAATTATTTCATTTATTTAAAGATGCTTTACCATTGTACCATTTTTGATATGTAGTCAACGCTATTCAACTTAGCAAGATCTCATTGCCTTCTGTTGATTTCAGAGTAAAAAGTTGTGCTTGCTATCTTTTCTTTTATTGATTGTATGTGACATTGATCCACTTTATTGGATCAATTTCCCCCATGCAACAAGGCTTATCTTCACTATTTTGGTCCCAAGTCTCATTTTTTAAACCTTTTTTTATCAGTATTCGACTCTTTTTAAATCTATTTTGTGCAAATATTTTTATGGAACTTTTATTCATGTTTTGACTTCTAAATCGTTTAGCATTTTCTCATACTACTCATATTATAGATAAATCTTCGATCTCCGTTTTGTATGCCCAAACCACGTAAAAAAATCAATCTTGCATGAATTTTAAAGTAAGTGTCATGATGAATAAGAAGATAGCACCAACACACGCCTGCTCTGGTCAAGAGTCATTTTTCAATCTTGAGTGCTCTCTTGTATGCAATGTTTTGCATCTGGCCCAAGCAGACTTTGCACCTTGGGAAACTTGGTGTTACAAAAGTCTTGTGGAACACATAAATCAGAATAACATCATGAATTGGAATTGTGGTTGGGTTTATTTTTTAAATTCTGGTGCATCATAAGTTAGAAAGGTATATAAGCTTTGAATATAAGAACAATTATAATGGTTATTGTTTGTGATTGTAAATTGTTAATGTACTAGTTTGTTATGCTCTTACCTTTTCAAGACATTGTTGGTACTTGTTTCTTCCTAATTTAACAGTGGGTTGTTTTAGAAATTCCTCAAAAATGATTATGCATTATGCATGCTTCTAACAATCTATTGAATACTCCATATTAATTGGAATCATTGTTTTCACCATTTAAATTAGCTAGTGATACATTGAGAACATTTTTCCATATATCGCAATAATAATCGACTGCTTATTAACGTAGTGAACTTTTATCCCGATTGTTGAACAAGAAGGCTCCGGGATTTGTTGATAGGGAAAGTATTCTGACAAAGGAATATGATCTTGTAAGTCAAGCTCTTTTTACTGACCCAAGTGATCAAAGTGGATGGTTCTATCATCTTTGGCTTCTTGATCAGACTGTCACTCCAAATGAAGTTTTACTGATCTCTTCCTGGCCTTCCCATGGTTCAGACTGGGTCCTATCAGTGAATGGAGATGCAACAATTTGCAAACCATCCAAACCAATTTGCACAGGCTATTATTTCATGAATACTGGAAAATTACCCATTGTTCTATACTTTAATCAAACTGTAAAAGGAGTAAATTCATCCAGTGTGACTGTAAATTCTATTTTTGTCAAGAATGAAAATCTTGTTTGGAGGCCACTCCCACCCTCCAAGTCTCAAGAAGCTGCTTGTTGGGTTACTTACCTACAAATTCCAGATGTGCTTAGTGATTCGAAAGCTTATGTAGTTGAGGTCAAACTCAGCCATTCAAAGGATATTTTATCGTCTATTGGTTCTGAATTCAACCATCCTTCGCATTTCAGATTTACTTTGACCTTAAACTCTGAAAGTTTGGAGAATGCTGGAGGAGAATCAGTAGATGAGCTGTTAGTTTGGAATGATGGTAGAAGTTCTGCGTTGGAAAGTAATGATTTGGTTTCATTTGATCAACTAAATTTGTGTGAAGATCATGCATCTGCATTTTCTCAATGGCAGTTGGCGACGATATCTAATGAGATAAAACTTTTTAAAGAGTTATCCGAAGAAAATTGGTTAGAATTCATTATTTTCTCTTTCCGCTGATTTTTGCCGAAGTTTATATTGATTTTTTCTTTATTCTCATTATTATCTATTAGTAACCATTTATTTTTTTCTTTTAATTGTAGTATATTTGTGAACCTTACATTAGCACGACTGTTACTTGCTCAAGAAGTAATGGTGTCACACAGAACTCTTACAGAAAGGTTAAACCATTTGAGAGAGGTGTTAAAACTCTATGACGATTTGTTAAAGTTGGATCCAAGGCATGCTGGATACTATGAGGACGAAAGAAGCTTAGTTCTTATGAATCAGGTAAGATCCTCATCTTTCTGCTTGATTTTATATGCATCCAATTTCTTAAACGTGCTTTATTTCGGACTCTACTTGCATAGCAGGCTATGCTTTTTTATTAGATGGGTTCTTTCTGCAGAACTGATGATAATTAGAAGTTGTTGTGAAACTTCTAAGAACTCATGTTAATAATTAGAAGTTGTTGTGAACTTCTAAGAACTCATGTTATTTTTTTTTTTTTTGGGAAATTTGGAAAACACCTTTGTTTTTTGTGGAAAAGTTAGAAAACACCTCAACAGCTGCATTGGAAGCAGCACAATATGTCCGGAGCACCATCTTTTGTCCATTGGTTTACCTTTCAATTTCCTCGATATCATTAGATTTCTATTTTGATTTCAAACTATAATAATGTATGGTGGCTTTTGCAACATTATATTGGCATAACAATTGTGTGTTTACCTCTTGCTGTTAGAAGAAAATATTAGCGTACATTTCATACTGTTATTAATAATACCTAGTTATATATATATAATTATTGCACACCTGATGCCTTAAGGTATCTATAACTTTGTCTACATTATGTACATGGCATGTTGAATTCCATAACAATCTTTTTGTTGAAGCCTATATTGATTTAGATGTTAATTAACTTCTTGATATCAATTATTCTTCACATTGTGACTGAATCACTAATTTTAATAAAGGACATTTAATATGGCGCATCTTTGCTGGAGGCTTGGTCATAATGAAATATCCTTTCAAACTGACTGCCTGGGAAAGGAAAATGTTGTAATAACGATGAAATTGTTCTGAAATTAGTTTTTTGAGCCATGTTATGAAGGACAGCCTTGAGAGAAAGAAGAAGGAACTGGTAAAAAGAATAAGTTATTAGATAAGCAAATTTGATGGTTGAACTAGGAGATTTTTCTCCTGGAACGGTTTTGGGTCTTTCACCTTGTTAAAGGTCAAAATTCAGAACGGATAGAACAAGATGCTTAAAATCCAAAATAAAAACTTCATTACTAAAAGTTGTTATATTTGTATATGGCAATATTAGCAAATTACTAAAAGTTGCTAGTAAATTTATTGATATTAAGTAGAGTAACCCAGGAAAACAATCTGATGTCAAAGACATAAATATCTCAAATATTTATGACCACAAGAATTTATGTCTAAATCGTTTTCCTATGCTATAAGCATCCCTATATACAGATGTCCAATTACCAATGCTGGGTGGCACTTCTAACTTATTAAATGTGATGTGATCTTGAAGGAAGGTCAACAAGCTCATTTGGAATTTGTGTGAGAAAAATTGTTTTCAGTACCATTGGAAAAAATAAAATTCCATCCATAGTCATTAATGTAAAATTTTTTAGGCTAACATTGTCTGAATTAGATGTTAGATCCTCAATATAGAAAATGGGACAAATAATCATGGAAATGGGTGAACTTACTCATATTTGAGGTTCTAGCTTTCTAATAAAACAAGATGGCTCAGAGGTTTTTGTAAGAAATATTAGATAGGCGGACTTAAGTATTGTGTAGGATATATATTTAAATATGTAATATCGTAGTTTCCGTAGGCATTATGATGAGGATCATTATAACGTTCTGCTCTCTCTATTCTAATGCTTCCTCTTTTCTCTCTCTTTCTCTCTCTCTCTTTCCCACTCTCTATCTAACGCTTGCCCACCTCCCCCTTCTTCCCTACTTCTCTCCCCCCTCCTTTCCTCTCTCTCTCTCTTACTCCTTCCCTCTCTCTCAAACAATCTCTCCTCTCTCTTTACCTCTCTTGCCTTCTTAATCTCCCCTTCTCTCCATCTAGCTCCTCTCTCTATGTTTATCCATCCTTCCCTCCTTTTATACCTCTCTTTCTCTCTTCTCTCTCTTCCCTTTTATCTATAATCAACATGCTAGTTTTGTATATATTCAATGAGTGATTCAGTAAAACTCAAGTTGCCAATTAATATGCTATAAACAATTTAAAAATGTGGTGGTCTTCATGGTAAAATTAGAATAAGTAAACTCATTTATAGATAAATATAAAACATGATTTCCTAGATTATCTCTCTCAGGAGTATAATTAGTTTTCCTTAATATTTATTAATTAAGGAAATTATCTTTCTAAAGGACATTCTTTTCTACCTTTTTTTTCACTAAATTCTATTTTAGTTCGATTTATTCCTTGAAATATATTTGTGGTGGAACTAAGGAAAAAGCTTGGACTTTTGAATTAAATAATAGTTTGCTGAACATTTGGTTATTTATCATGCTTAATGCCAGACTTATGCTCATGTTTTGGCTCAGTTTCAAAAACATTTGCTATCTTAAATGTAGACAAAATGTATGGAAAAGTGTTATTTTTTATCTGATAACCGTTTTCTAAGTATTGGTCAACACCAAAAAGTGAATTAGAGATTTCATAGATTATTACTTATTATGATCAGACTTATTATGCTTATGAGATCTTTTGTTGGTGCATGTTTAGTAAATTATGAGCTTAACCAAATGTTATCATTATAGAGATTTAAAACCAGAATATAAGTTGCTAGAGGTTAATTAAGTTATATTTCAATCTTGGTGGCTTTCAATCAAGTCTCATTTATCATCTTATTATAATAAAGGCCTATTTCTTGCTTTATATTTTTCCTTGAAGAGTATCGATGAATCTAGGCATTTGTAATTCATGATTTGTCAAACAATAATATACTTTTTTTTGTTGCTAATCAAGTATTTCATTACATATAAAGAGCTTTTTTGTCTACGGTTTAGAAGTTGCTTAATTAACTCTGTATGATGTTGTGATGAATATTTTCGCTTAAGATTTTATTTTATCTCATTTCATGTAGTAATAATATTTTCATTGTTTAAATTTTTAATCGAAACATTTGAATAAAACCTACCAATTTAGCATTACCAAATCTAATAGCTATTTAAATCAGCTAATCAAGCTAATAAAGCGTTAGAACTTTTCAATGCATTAAAATTGGAGTTAAAATCATATTGTTATAGATTTTAACAAAATGCAAGCAAAATTTTTTTTTTTCTATCCTTTATAAGAGATTGAATAATTCTTGACACGGTTGAATATATGTAATAGTCATTATAAAAGGTGTTAAACCATTCATAAAATTTATTCACAATTATGTTGATATTATGATTATATGTAATGAAAATAATATTTATATATGCTAGGTTGGACGACATCCAAGATTTACAGCATCTGTAGAGTGTCCTGTCAAGTTATCTTACTGACAATAACCGAAAATTAAATCCTAATTATATCATGTGAATCAGAACACATTCAACTCTTAGAAAATGCTTTTATGGGAAATGAATGCAATTGAAACCATGCGATGAGATTCAAATTATTATAGTGAAGGCTCCTAAAACTTGTGCTCATGCATTACAAAATGTGCCAATTAACACAATTTTACCCAAATTTCTGATTGAGAACTTTTACCTGAATTATAGTAAACAATTGAACTTTTATTTTGTTGATGCTTCGAAGAAGATTTAATTTACTTGAGTGGAAGGTGAACTGGCTTGAAAATATTCATGATTGATTTGTAGAATTTGGTTGGATTTTTTTTCTCTTTTTTTTTTTTTATTGTCTTCGATTTCTTTTCCCCATTTTTTAAGGTTTTTCAAGGTAAAATTTAGATTGATTTAAGTTTTGAGGTTTGTTGCTAGTACGTTGGAGAATGTTTGGGAGAGTGGGATTGAGGTTTGTGAAGGTCTGAAATTCAAATTTGACTTTGACTAGAGCCTAATTATATGAAGATTTGGTGAACTTTCTGGAGGATTTATTTGGGGAAAGGGCAGAGGAGTGGATGAAGGAGAAAATAAGGTAATAAGATGGGTTTACCATTCTATGAACAAGGAACTTACTGATTGTGAGCGAAATCTTGGAATAGATGAAGAATGGTCTTCAAACTCGCAGTAGAAATTTTATTCATTATATAATGTCTTACATGACTTAAAAGATTCAAATTTATTGATGGAAGTAATAATAAACAGCTAACAAAATGCTAATTTTATGGCATTTTCTTGAACAACCACATCATAAGGCATTTTGAATGGATTAAATTGGATATATCCTTCTATAGGATTTACATAAATCATATGTAAATCTTTTTTATTTTTGTAGCTGATATCAGATCTTTATTAGTTCTTAAGTTACCGCTCAAATCATTCAAACTAAATAATAATAATATTAATTACACTCTCGTTAACAACTAATTTTTGTTTGCTAGTCTATGTTCTTCTTTCCCCCGTTCCTTCTTAGATTTAAGATTGGGGCATTTACATACATAGCACACAATTCTATGTATTGAGGTATCTCGCATCTAAAATTTCATATATACACGGATAGCACTCAAATCTTTAATATCACATAAAAAGTAGCACAATTATTATTTTTTTAAAGTCAAATGAACCTTTGTTTAAAGCATCAAAGTTCTATGTGTAAATATGAAAGTTTAGATCCGAGATATGCAAATAGATAAGAATTGTGTGCCACGTATGTAAATTTCCCTTCAGGATTTTATCCTTATTGGCTCATTGCCTAATTTGTTGGCTATTCCTTGTAATGGCCATACTAAGAAAATTGTTCCAATCTGTTGACATCATGCTTTCTTATATTGCAAATTTACAACTTACACAGGTAACTTGTGATGAAAAATCTATATCAAGCCACCGTTCTCATTCCAGTAACTATACTTCATCGAAGGTTCATCTCCTTGGCTGTTTGCAACTTAAAAGCTTATCATTGACTCGGATTGGGTACGTTGAGCGCCTGTTATGGGTTCAAACACTCGATCTTAGCCACAATAAGCTCAGGTCGATAGCAGGTGAGGATTGCCACTTTTCCTTATTGTGTTTACCTCTAATGTGCTCTTCACATTTTGCCAAGCAAAACCTTATAGGGGTATTTACCTATGTACCAGACAATTCTTATGTATTTATATATGTAACACCTAAATTTTTATATTTACACGCATACCACTCAAATCATTAACATCACATCAAGAATACCACTATCACAATCGTTTTAGAGGTGAAATACACCTTTTCATGCATAGGTTTATAACACAAATGTATTATAAATATAAATATTAAACTTTGGATGTTAGATATGTAAATACACTAGAATTGTGCGGTTTGTGCCTAAATTTCCCAACTATATATCAAAGTTCGCTTTAGAGTACTCAAAAATCTCATTTGTTGTTTAATCTAACTCGAGAATTCTGCGGCTACTCGCAGGCATAGAAGCATTGCAACTTCTTACCTGTTTGAATTTGAGAAACAACCAGATCTGTAGCATTACATCATTAGAACCTCTAAAGCCTCTTAGCTATTTGAGAGTCTTGGACATATCCTTCAATAAAATAGGTCTTCACCCTGTTGATACGACGAGGTATCTATTCTCGTCTCCCTTAACATATTCAATGATAAAGGACGAAAAATACCTCGAAGAGTGCCGCCAGGCAAACATCAATGTGGCTGATAATTGGGAAGCCATATTTCTGTTTAGAGATTTGCATCTCAAGCAGTTAGATGTCAAGGGGAATGCAGTTGCTGATGAGAAGTTTAGAGCTCTTCTGAAGAAGGTGCTTCCTACTCTTATTTGGCTTGATGGTGAACGATTATAAAAGCCAGGCATTTCTGTACTGCGAAATTCTCAGGTGTGTATAATTTTTTTTTGAGAAATTGGCATACACACCATAGAATTCTTTTACATTTATATATCAACACCTAAATTTTCATATTTACATTTATTACACTTTGGTTTGATAAGCTTATGCATGAAATGACGCATCTAAACTATTTAGGTGATACTGATATTTTTGATGTAATATTAAAAGATTTGACGGCTATGCATGTAAATATTAAAGTTTAGGTGTTTGATATGTAAACACATTAAAATTTTGTGGTATGTATGTAAATCCCCCAAATTTTTTTCATTAGTTGCATGAACCTTCCGAAATGATATTTTCACAATACAATAATAATTGTCATAAATAATGATTTTTTATTATTATTTGGAATCGTTTTTTAGGTGCACTATCTAACCTTAAATCTTGCAGTGGTATTCTGATCCCTTAAAAAAAATATAGGACAGTACAACTTGAGGAAAACTTAATACTTACAGAATGTAGTCTCGCTTGGAATTTTCACGATTGGAGTTGGGGCTTTTTGTAGTTCCAGAATCCTGCTTTTCATCTTTTCTACCTTAGGTTTATTAGATTCTGTGAACTTATTTGTGTCGTCTTTCTTGAACTTCAGGGCTGTAGGATTTAATAAATCTTGTAAATCGTGATTTAGTAGAGCTTAAAGGTGTTAAATGCTGAGAATTGTTTGGCATAATGCATGTTAAGTCCGGTTAATGCTAAATGCTAATAAACTTTTTCTAGTATTTTTTTTTTTAAGATCTAGGATTTAAATGAATTAGAAGAATGTGCATAATGACTATCAGTGTAAATCTCATAAATCCTGCTTCCCTTTGATTGTATTAAATCAGGGATTTACCCTTGAAAGGGAGGAAATGAGGATTTAAACAGTGGTAAGTAAATAAGATTTTTACTTAAATTCCGTATAAATTTGGATTAAACCTTATAAGCAAACAAAAAATTGCCTAAAATCATGATTTTTCTTAAGAAAGTTATACTAAAACATCATTAAAAACTGATTTCAACTTAAACATTAATTAAATATAGGTTTTTTCTTTTAAATATCCGACGGTACACTTCTATTTGAGTGCACAAAAACCAAATAAAATCAATATATTATCAAATAAAGCTAACCTAAAATAATATAAAATACTGATTTTAACTTTATAAATTACCTAGTTATAAGTTGTACTTCAGAAGGACAATACAGTTCAACTTTAGTGAACAAAAAGTGCCTAAAATCATAATATTTCTAAAAAAAGTGATTTAAAACTTCATTAAGAAATGATTTCAGCTTGATAACAGAATTACATTAGTGTTTGTTTAAGAAAAGGCAGTAATCAAAATATAGATTAAAAAGAAAAACTTATTAAACAAAAGTAACATAAAACATCATTGAAAATCTATTTCGGCCTCATAAGAAAATTTCATATTGCTTTTCTTCAGAAATAAGGCAGGTCAATCTTAGTTTATAACCCAATTTTTGCCTACAATCATAATAGTTCTAATACATAGAACCTAAAATATCATAGAATTTTCATTCTAGCATTATTAGTAGATTACTTGAATGTTTTCTTCAAGAATAAGGCATTTATTTATGCATTACTTTATAACATGACGCCAAAAAAAAATGAGGGATATCACTTGTGTAAGTAGTGAAACTTCAGTACTACTATATGACTTGCCAGCTCAATAAAATTTACAATATTGGGCTCTATTTGGGGGAAAAAAATCTCTATCAATTTCTCTCCACTTCAAGCACTAATATATCAGTATTTGCAATTAATTCCTTATTAAAATAAATGGAAAATTTACAAACATAGTATTGAATTCTTATGTACGTACGTGCATATCATCTTACCCGTGCATGAAATGATGAGAATGTATATTTCACTTTTTAAAAAGTTTAAACGGCAATACTTTTTATGTCATATGAAACTTTTACTTGATATTAATGTAAAATGTTAGGGGTTGGTTATGTAAATACATAAGAATTGGGTGTTAGATTGTCAATACCAAAAAAAAAAAACATAAAATAAAATAGTTGGGATGGATTTGAGGGTGAGAGTTAGTGGTTGCCACTTTTTCGCATATGTTTAACATTTATTTTGTGCTTATAAACCTTTTTCTCCTGAGGGCCTACAGTGCAATATTGAAATTCATGTTTTAAAAAAAAATGACAAATTAAATTAAGGTCTTGTGGTTGTCCTTTATCATCATCATTATCATTATGTTTTCTTTTTTTTTTTTTTTTTTTTTTTTTTTGTGTGTGTAATTTTTAAGTTGTATTAAATTTTATCAAATAATTGTTTCTAATATCAAAACAATCATATTATCATGTGTACCACATTCTATAATTGCCATTCCCTTACTTTGTACTTTGAATTTGAATATTGCTTTAAAAATATATGAGTTTTGTATACTTATATATATATATATATATATATATCAAGCCAAAACGAGCGAACACGAACAAACAAATTTTTGTTTTGTTTTTTGCTCGTTTATATATCGAGTCAAAAAAAAAATTTACGTAACGAATGAGTAGAACATGAGCAAACTTATCAAGTTGAGCATGAGTTGTTCGACAATAATGAGCTATTTTGAAAGCCCTTGATAATAGTCAGAGATTTTTTTTGGTTATTACATAATATCTAATAATAATCACATTCAGAAAATTTATCATATATGTAGGGTTTGTTAGAGGCAGTAGTTGTGCGAGGAAATTATTTTGCCGATGCTATTACGAGAAAGTTGTGGGTCTGTTTGTATTGTGCAGTAGCTATGTTGCAGTTGTGTATGATAAATAAGAGTTGTATGTCATTATATTGATGTGTTATTGAATAATTCATACATGCAAATAAAAATTAAATTTTACATCCCTAAAAACACATATGGTATTTCACTAAAGAGTAACACAAGAAGCAAAAGTAAAAAATAAATTTGTTAGCGTAATAATTAATATTATCATAATATTGATTCTGACATACAGACGATTAATTTCACAGGATATTCTCTTCTTAAAAAAAATTCTCTATGCCTGATCGTTAAACCGTCACAGTTGGAAACGAAACAAAAAAGAAACATTTGAAATCTATCATCATAATCAACACACCACCATCACCACTACCACTACACGTACTACCAAAAAACCACCACCAAACCACCACCACCACACCACCACCACCACCACCACACCACCACCAACACATCCCCTCATCATCACAACCACCACCACTACAACCACATAATATCACTAGGGCTATCAAAACGACTTCTTGTTTGCAAACAACTTGTGTTCCGCTAGTTAAGTAGCACATGTTTGATTCGTTCGCTAAGTAAATGAGTCAAATACGAACAAAATTTTTGCGCTCGATGTAAAAATTAGTTGAACACAAATAAAATTTTGTTTGTTCGTGTTTGACTTGTTTTGGCTCAAAATAATTAAATATATTAATTGATGAGTATTATTTTTAAATAATTTAATTGACTACAAAGCTACAAAGGTTCATAATGAGTTGAAATTGTTAATTAAAAGAGGATTAAATATATATATTAAATCCTATTTAAATTAATATTTTGATATAATAATAAGATTTAAATCTCGACCCTACCCTTAACATTCTATAGTTGTGTGATTAGGGCTATCAAAAGGGCTCGTCGTTCGCGAATAGCTCGTGTTTAGCTTGCTAAAAAAATAAGTCAAACATGAACAATATTACTTTTTAACGAGTCAAACACAAATTGAATTTGGATTTGCTCAAACTTAACCCATTTACACTCCTACGTAACACCCCCACCACATCATTACGACATCACAAGTTAGGTAAGAATCATCTCAACTAAGACATGGAGGAACCCAATTGAGATATGGAACTACAAAACAATAAATACATTGAGCATAGACACTGGCCCCAAACCACAATGAGCAACCCTTTTAAGAAAAAGAGCAAACCACTTAGAGCAACCCGATTGAGAAAGCGAACAAACCTGGAAAGCAACCTCCAAATTTCACAGAAAAAAATAAATGCAAATTCCAAATCCCTTCCTTGGGCATATAAAAAAATTATGTATATAAAAAAAGTGAATGCAATTTCTCTTTAGAACAGAGCTACAAACCATAAAGAGCAAGCCACAATTCTCATTGAACCACAAGCCGTAAATAGCAAAGAGCACAAATTATAAAGAGCAAAACCATAGAGAGAGAAAATAAACCGTAAAGAAAAAGGATAGAAGATACTGGAGGACGAAGGAGAGCAAAGAAATCAAACGCCGACAATCTCGCGCTACCAATGCCGAAGAATAGAGAGCGACAAGAGAGGAGGAAAAAACCTTGGAAAAAGATGCGAGCGACCATAAAAAAACAAGCGGATACTAAAGCTCGTGAGACAACGAGGTAATAGGGACGCGAAAAAAATGAAATGTGAGGTCGACCCTGTGGCCCCAAATTATGAAAAAAATATTATGTTCGGAGTCTAAGCATTCCACAAATGAAGATAATACATGGGCGGAGCATTTTTCCGAATTATGGGCACGTTTAAAAACAAGAAAACGCCTCAGGGGTAGGGCTGTCAAAACGGCTCGTTGTTCGCGAACAGCTCGTGCTTGGCTCGTTAAGAAGCTCGTGTTTGACTCGTTAATTTTGTTCGATAAGTTAACGAGCCGAACACGAACTAAGATGTGTTCGTTCGTGTTCGGCTCGTTTTGGCTCGAAATACTACTCATCAAGTTTATATATATATTAAGTAGTATTTTAAAAAAATCTAATTGACTACAAAACTACAAAAATTTATAATCAATTAAAATATTGATTAAGAAAATAGAATAAAAATTATTAAATTAGATTCAAATGATATTTTAATATAAATAATAATTTTTAAATCTTGCTTAAACCCTTATTGTCTTATGTCTTATGGCTACATGATTAGGGTTGTTAAAAGAACTCTTTGTTCGTGAAGAGCTCGTGTTCGGCTCGTTAAGCAAACGAGCCAGACAAGAACACACTTTTTGA